CTTCTTTGTCTGTCTGGGGTCAGTCTGCTGGGCAGGGCAAGGCAGGCTGGGCAAGGACAAGGCGTGGAGCCCTCCTCTCAGTACACAGGCGGGCTGTCTGGCTTTGGTCATGGAATGTACCCTCTTGACTTGCCAGGCATGGATCAAAAGGCAAACCGGGCACTTTTCTTTATGCTTCTTTGTGCTTCCTCCAATCCTGTCTTCCCAGCACCTCCCCCCGCCCCACACACACCCCACCCCGAAAACACACCAAAGCTAACTGCCATCCCCACGGCCTGCCTTGGTGGGCAGGGAGAGATGAACTGCCCGGAACTAGAAGACCTTCTCTTGGAAGAAAGAACAGTCAGGTGCAGAGTGTGTGGGGAACTCGGCCTCCAGTCTGCCACGCTGATGACTCAGAAGCTAAATATAGCGAGTGATATAAACAGAGCCAGCCACAGAGCAAACACAGGGCCCCCAAGCCCCAGCACAGGCTCTCACGAACACTGAGCTCTCAGCGACCCCTCCCCCAGCCCCACTCTTCCCCTAGCACGGTCCTGCATAGACCTCCTACCCCTGGGATAGAAGGTGGTTTCCTAGGGGGGCACTTCTCACTCTAGGACAAATCCCTGGGGCCCCTGAGAACAGGGCTGTTCTCTCTAGAGCCTGAGTGACCTCATTAGCCATGGTCTCTGCTCCAGAAAACCACTCACCAACATGGAGAGCATCCTAAGGGTCAGAAAGCAGTCAGGGACTCCCAGAACAAAGAATCCAGGATGCTGGGCAGAGATCCAGACGCTAGGTGATGAACCATGCAAACGCCAGTCTGGGTACAACTTCCAAAAGAGCATCCCAAGAATTATAAAGTCAGGTCCAAGCAAAATCCCAAATTCCTGGTATATGTGTGCACACACTAGGTAAGCTTTCTACCACTGATCTATTCCTTGCTTTCTGTTTGAGATAGGGTCTTACGAACCTGGCCTGGTGGTCCCTAAACTTGTGATCCTTCTGCCTTGCTCCAGCCTTGCTAATAGCATGTGTTCAACTCTCCAAGCTACCGTAGTTTCTTGGTTTTGTTTTTTGCAGTCCTGAGCATCAAAGCCAGGGCCTCCAGGCTGCTAGGCAAGCCTCTGATGCCCACCTGAGCTACAAGCCCTGGCCAATAGTGCTTTTATTACAGTTCCCAAAGGCTTTTCACAGCAACCTTGCAGGGTCAGCTTTGGAACCTGAGGTCCGGACCAGGAAAATGATTCGCTCAGAAACAGCTTGGGTAAGTGGCAGGAAGGCGCTTCTTCCCAGACCTGCTTGAAAGTCCCCCATCCTTCCTGTGATATTACAAATGAAGAGGGTTTCAAACAAGGGCTTGGAAGTTTCCTTAGATTTCATTTTCCAAAATACCAAATTACTATTTAGGGAATTTCTAAATCTGCTTTTTTTCTGAATGGAGCCACTCCTGGGCCTAGTGAGAGAAAGAAAATTCCACACAAAGAATCCTAACCCACTTGTTCACTTATTCAAGGGCCCATAGTAGCTTTTATTTATGTATTTATGTATTTATTTATTTGAGCTTCTCAACACTGTCTAGAAATACCCCTTCAGACCCGGCCACAGGGAAGGAAAGACGGTACCAACTATCCCTAGGCCCACACTGGCTGGAGGAGTCACTCACAGAGAACACAGAGAAACAGAGGCTCCGACCTTCTGACCAGGACAGCTGTGAGTTTGTCAGGAACTGAATCTGATCCTCCCCCCCCCTCCACAGAGAAACTGGAGGGGTCACCCTCTCAGAACCCAAACCTAAGTACATCCCTCTCCAAGAGGTATTAGAGATCCCTGCTGCAGCCTGCCAGCCAAAAGGAACAGAACGGGAGCCTCCCACTGCCCCAGCAGAAAGAGGTGAAAAAGATTTCCTTTAAACTGGACCCAGTGAAGCATGCCTGTAATCCCGGAACTCGGGGAGACTGAAGCCAGTTTAAGTTAAATGGCAAGACCCTGTCGCACCTACCCAACACCAAAAGGAAGGAAGAAGGAGGGAGGAGGGAGGGAAGAAAGAGGAAAGGAGAGAGAGAAGGAGGAACCTTTTACCTCCACTCACATCACCTCCAACTGTCTCAGTTTCAGAAACCCAAGGAGCTAGCAGCGAACAGCACCTGATGATGTCTGCCTATAGATTCTTGCCCATGAACCCAGAGGAGCCGCTCTGAGCCAGCCGTGTGGGAACCAGGCTAGTCTTCCACCTCAACACACTCTTCAGGAAATATGGTGAGATAACAAATGGAGTAGAGATAGGTATAAGGAATGTGGCCAACATAAACCTGCTGCCCCCGGGGCCACAACTGATACACCCAATCTGCCGGCATGCCACGCTACATCTTTGTCACATCTCCCTCGGAGAAAGTAAGAGGAATAATAATAACAACTGGGGGACTAGAGGGAGAACTCAGCTGGCTGAGTGCTTGCCTAGCATACAGGAAGCCATGGGTTTGGTCCCCAGCACCACAAAAATCGAGCATAGTGGTGCAAATCTGCAATCTCAGCACTTAAGAAGTGCATCATAAGTTAAAGGCCATCCTCAGCTACGTAGTGAGTTCATGGCCAGCCTGGGCTAAGACTATGTACATAATAACATTAATAATAATAATCATAATAATAATAATAACTGAAGTCTATTACAAGGACTAAAGGGCAACTAACATTCTCGTGTAATTCTCCTTCCAACCTCTTGGGAGCGCTCCAGATGAGATGCTAGCACCTCATCTAGAACTGACCTGTACCCTCAAAGAAGCAGCCCTAAACTGGGAGAAAGGTATCAGACAGTGAAGAGCGGGGGACATTGTTGTGGAATAGAATATTAGTTTAACTATGTAAAGATGTATTGCATTTGTTTATGCTGCAGAATAATTGTTTAACTATGTAAAGATGCGTTGCATCTGTTTATGCTGTATTTATTTAACTAGGTAAAGATGTGTTGCTGTTTCACCTTGCCTGCCTAAGGCACCTGATTGGTCTAATAAACAGCTGAATGGCCAATAGCTAGGCAGAGGAGGGGTGGGCGGGGATGGCGGGGAGAGAGAAAAGGGGAGGGGAGGGCAGCCAGCTGGGGCCCAGCCCACCAGACTTAGACATGGAGGAAGCAGGAAAGCAGTATGGACAGTCCGTAGATGAGGTAAAGGAGCCTGGGGCAGCACATAGATGAACAGAAATGGGTTAGTGTAGAAAAAAAAAAACTGGCTAGAAACAAGCCTAAAGCTAAGGCCAAGCATTCATAATTAATAAGAAGTCTCCGTGTCATGATGTGGGGGCTAGGCAGTCCAAGAAATTCTGCTACAGGAGACCTCAGGATAGGGTCTCCTCCTGAACTTTGGTCCAGCAGCAAGGAGGCCTCTAGCCTGGTCTCCAGTATGTCAGGGCTCACTAACGGACAGGGGACTATCCTGGGAAACAGCTGCTGAGAGAGGCCAGATTAGTGTGAATGAAGAAAGAACGTCTTCCAGATGTGCTCTAGATGGGGCTAAAGACTATAGCCACTGTCTTCCCACCAGTGCCAGTATTAGGACCAAACGCCATGAGCCGGGCTGAGCCACAGACCTGTACAACCAAGGCGGATGACATGGGAAGGAAGGAGGCCAAGAGACTGAAAGCAGGAATCAGAAGGAGTCTACACGTGGACTGCGGGGGACTCACTAAGCCACGTCTGTACAGTGTAACCACAGAGGGGATGAGGACTGTGGCTGGACCACAGCAATTAGCCAGGCTGCCTTATAACCTAATCACAGGGCCGCCCTCTTTCCAAATCACTTAAGGGCTGGGGAAACCCATCAGAAATAGCCGTGGCCCCAGACTCCCTGACAGAGAAGTATACCAATAACACCCTATGGCCTGTTCTCAGAAAACTCAAGGTCAATGTCCTCTACCCACTGCTGCTGGCAATGGTTTGCTCGCAAGTCAAAGTTATTACTACCAATAACTGTTCTGGTCATCTGAATTTACCCATCTAGTCCCAGGTTGTGTCCAGCCATGATAGTTATTTGTTCTGTGATCTACACACACACACACACACACACACACACACACACACACGCACGCACGCATGCACGCACATGCACTGCTAGGATAGGAACACAGTCCTATAGGTAGAGATTGTGTTCCTTTCCCTGTGTTGTGGCTTTGCCAGGTAGTATCTGTACCAGCAAGGATCCAGCTTCAGGCTCCACCCCTGCCTTGGCAGCTATCCAAAAAGCCAGCCTGTCTGGGAAGGGTTAAGCACCTGGGGGCCCAGCACAGACGGTGGCTGGGCTGTCGAGCAGGACAGCCTCCCATCCACGGTACAACGGGCTCCCGCACGAGCCTGCCAGCCGCCGCCTTTGTTGATGGACTCTGCCACATGCTCGGCTGACACGCGATGCCCCGCCCTGGCGGGGCTGGTGCCAGGCTGCCGGCCAAGCACCAGGCAGAGCGCCCGCCGCCGGTCGCAGGTCTGGGGAGACTCTGAGGTACAATCTCCAGAGTCCTGGGCCTGGGTTCCCAGACACAGACAGTGAGGAGTGGCTCTCCAGCTGGAAAGTGTCAGGTTTCAACCGGTTCCACCACTTTCCCCCACTCAGGCCCCATCTCAGGACTGATTACTGGTTTCCCACTGTTCCTCAGCCAGGCACACCCCCAACTGCTCAGTTTCACTTCAGCATTCTACAAGAGACAAGCCCCCAACTTGGGTCTGGGGAGTTTGTCCAACCAGACTGCAGGAAGCCATCCCATGGGCAAGGAGGGATCGCAGTATCTTCCCACCTCTTCTGAAGCTAAGTAGGCAGCTGGAACTCTCAAGGACATGAGTACTCAACTAATTGTGCCTACCCAGTCCATCATAATGACAGTAGCCAAGGCCAAAACTCTGAAACATAGCCTGAGGCCTGGCAACTCTTGGGTTACTTACAAGAGGACAAAGGCAAGCCCTGGCTTCCCAGCGCCAACAGCCTCAAGCCCCCCACCCCCACCTCCACTGCCCCCCAAACCCTCAGGCCTACTTGTTGTATATGAAGCCGATGAAACTGGTCTGCAATGCACTGAAGCTTTCTGGCGATCTGTACCTCTGCTCGATGCTGCCACTGTCCTTCAGGGGGCTGCTCCCCAAGGGGCAAGCCTGCAGGGAAACTGGCAGGGAGCGGAAGCCTGTAGCCAGCATTGCCTGCAAAGACAGAGGATCCACATCTCAGCATTTTCTACCCCTACCCTACCTTCTCCATTGTCAACCCTTTCTGGCCAAGACCTGGAGTTGCTGGTAAATCTTAGGACAGAAGGAAGAGGAAGCAGCCTGCCTGCCTTTACCAGGGCATTCTGCCACACTCGGAGAGCTGCCCAAGAATAGAAACGTTGGTACAAGGGCTGAGAGTGTAGCTTAGATGTAGCTGAATATTTAGCACACTCGAGGGTTCGTTCTCTCTCTCTCTCTCTCTCTCTCTCTCTCTCTCCACACACACACACACACACACACACACACACACACACACACACACACACACACACATACTTATCCTGGAAAAACAGAGAAGAATATAGACCCTGCCTTCTCCTCCATGCTCAGTACCATGGCAGAGCACAGGGTGCTAATGTGTACAACGGACACGCCAATCTTCTGTCATTTATCAAGCTATACTTGACCTCCATGTATTATTCGTGTAGTGGCAGGTTGAAGCTGTTCTCTGGTTCCTGGGTTGAGTAAAGCAGACAGAGAAAAGAAAAACAAACAAACAAAAAAAAACCCCAAAAGTGTCTTCATTTTTCTAGTACAGTTAAGGAGAGCTGGGCTCAGCACTCAAAGATGAGAGTAGCAGCAGAAAAGCCAGTGAGAAAACTCCTGAGCCCCCCCCCCCCCCCCCCAGCAGCCAGGTCGGCTCACCGAGTGCTGGCCCCAGAATGGCCGCTGGGGGCGCCTGCCACCTCCTGCCTCCTCCCTCTTCCAGCCCGAAGCAGGCCTCATCCAGCTTCTCAGACTCCCGCCAGAACTGCTTTTCCAGAAGTGCCCTATGGGCAGTTAGTTCCCTCTGAGATTAACTGCAGCGGCTTCTCAGTCTGCTCCCGCGGACACAGCAGGATGACCTCTGAGCCTCTACCCTCCCTCCACAGGCCAGTGTGCTAAAAGAAGAAAACAGACCAGTGTCTAATCCTGCCCTTTTGCCAGAGGAGGGCATATTTCTCATAAAACAAACCATTTAAGCCCACAAATGAAGGGGTCGTGTCTGATTTAGCCTTGGAAACAGCCCCTCTGCTGGCACTGAGCCCAGGCAGGCCCAACCTCTTTCTCCAGTTCCCCTTCCAAGCACAGAAAGTCCCAAGTGACAACTCAAAGCCACCTTCGGTCTTCAGGAACCTTCCCTGTAAGAACTGGCTGGGCTTCTCCTTGAGTGTCAACAGTGACACTTAACACTCCCTTCCCCTTCGTGAAAGACAAATCAGCACCCGGGTCCCAAAGGCAGAGTCACTGAGAAGACAGAGGATGTGACAGGAGACTGCATGGACCCAAGGATCCCTCCAGGGAGAAACGGAAAGGACAAAGGAATTTGTCCTTTGCAGGGCCAAGCACAGGTGGAGAAGGTTGAAAGTTGATGGATCGATCGACAGCCTGGCTGTTCAGTTTGGGGAAGGAAGTAGTAACGAGCAGGTTTGGGAAGGGAAAGTCCCCTCATTTCCCCCAATGTCTAAGGCTAAGAGCACTCACCGTAAAAGAGTCTCTGGGGTTCCTCTGTCACCCCACAAGGCAGCATAACACCCTGGCTTGGGGAAGCTGGGCTGAGGGTCTGGGTGGCCTTGTCTTCCTGGCTTATGGGCCGGAGCCCAGGACCACAGCAGTGAGTGAGAGGGAAGAGCTGGAGCCGGCTGAGGGGGCAATCCAGCTGGCTCTGGGCAAACAGGTCAGCAGAGAGCAAGCTCCCAGGTTGTGTCCCTGGCTCCCCATCCTCTGGCTGGAACACATCATCTTCCAGCTCCTCCACACACTGCGGTGGCTCCATCTCTCCTGTCAGAGAACAATGGAGGTATGTGGGATGCTGGCCTACTGAGGCCAGACCAAGGATTCCCCTCCCTCCATCCTTTCCCACTCTTGTCATTTGAGGGAACCACGCCAGCTTCCGACCATACACAACCTTGGTAATAAAACACTGCCAAGGGTGATATTCACCCCTAAAATGTGGGCCTCCCCAATGTTCAGGGCCCTTCCATACATCCTCCCTGTGCCCACCAGAGCCATCTTTTCCCACCTCCTCTGACCGAGGCTGGTCACAGAGTTTGACACTGAGGGCTGTAAGCAAGGGGTGGGATCAGCCCTTCCACAGGGGTCCTGGGAAAATATAAGGAAGGCTAGCCTCTGCAAGTGACTGTGGGGGCCCGGAAGGGGACAATGACTGACTGTACAAAGTGTTCACAACATACATATGTACACACACACACACACACCCTAAGGAGGAACCTCCAAGCTCTCGCCTAAGTCTGAGCTGAACTCCAGGCTCAGCAGCAAAAACAAAAGGCAGCAATTGTAGAGCCGCCAGGTTCCCTCCGAACGTGCTTAGCCCCACCCTACCGCACATCTCCACCCCCCTCCTTGCACAACACAACAAGCAGGCTCTGTGGTGTGGTGAGAGTGTCCTGGAACGGGGGACCTAAGTTAGTCACTCTAGCTGCCTAGCTCAGCTCTCTCCCAGAGGAGCAGAGCTGCCTGCCCACCACAGGTTAATCTTGAGGGTTGGATCGGCCTCTAGCAAAGAGTCCAGCTAATTCTACCCACTAATCTCCATGACTTCAAATTCTCATCCACTCCGCCCCCCCATTCCTGCCAGAGCTGAACCTGAGATAGGTGCAAGGTGCCTCACAGAAGGAAGTGAAATTCAGCCCTCTTGCTGTGCTGTCTCTCACTGCCTACACTGCGGGGCTGTTTCTTCGTGTTAAGTTCCTCTCGCTCCACCTGACGGCTCATGAAATTCTGCACTTGGACTCACCCAGCAGCCTGAGCTTCCAAGCGTGCCCCTGGGGCAACCAGAAGCACCAGCAAGTACCCGAATCGTCAAGGCAATGCAAAAACAAATTTTGTCATCTTCGGACTCTGCTAGAGATTCCCAGGAGTTCAGACACCCCAGTGTCTTGCCTTTGAAAGACAAGCCAAGTGGTTTGTGGGTTTTAAAAGAAATCTTAAAAAAAAAAAAAAAAACCAACAACTTTGTCTTTAAAGAAATCTGTTGAGTTCAGAAACCTTCCTTTCCTAAATGCGAGCGTCTCTCCACCTCATCGCACCCCTGAGCTATCTGTGGTCTTGTCTCTGCTCTCTTCCCTGGAGGATAATGCCATGCCCCTAAGGATGGCAAAGCAGACATCTTTGGATATTGTTCCAATTGGTAAGGGGGAACTCCAGCTTATCAGCAACAGAAAAATCAAGTTTCCAGATAAAAGGACCAAGAGCTGTCACCTAGCAGGGGTTCTTCTGTCCTTCACCCCTTCTCTGCAGGCTGGCAATCCCAACCAAAGTAGGGACCCTCCAGAGCCAATCACAAGTAGGAGTCATTGTCTTGGTGTTTCTTTTGATGCCTATTACTCCCCTCCCCCTCCCAGCAAAGCCCCAAAGTTCAACCCTTGCCTTGACTGGACAGTGGGGGAGGTGCAGCCAGAGGGTGTGACTCTGAAAACGCGGAGACCCCCCGCCCCCCCGACTCTGCACAAGATCTGCAGGTGGCTCTCCGGTTGGTGTGAGCCTCCGAGAGGTTCTGGGCAAAGACAAATGTAAAGTGGGGAAAAGTAGAGACCGTCAGCTTCTCTGAGCTAAAGTGGTGATGTCCAGACTGGTAGGAAGAGAGTATTTCCTGAGAGCACAGCCAGAGAACGCTTTATTCCTAGCAAAGGGATTAAAGTCCGTTGGAGCCATCCCAGAGCCTCAGAGCTTCAACTGGTATGCTCAATTAAAAACCCTCCTCTTCTTAGGAGATGGCACTAGCCAGATACCTTGAACCTCAATAGTGGCTAAGATCTCAGAACACACGCGCGCACACACACGAGCGCACACACACCTGGGTGACTCCAGGACAGAGTCTCAGCCTCCGAGTCGTGATGCCAGGGCTCTGCGCCAGGGTCCAGGGTGACGAGCACTCAGGGGGCTTGGCGCCCACACTCGATAGGGAAGGAGGGGGCAAACTCCAGCTGTTAAGAAGAGGACCCTTCAGACTACGCAGGGAGGCAAAATGCACCACAACTCATGGCCCCACCCCAGAGTCAGACCCGGAGACCAGAGCGTTCCGGGAGCTTGGCAGCGTACCCCAGGGTCACTGGCCCACCTACTCTCAACTCTTGAGTTCCAAATGTTTCCCGAAAGCCCTGCTTGGAACAGCACGCCCAAATTTGTGCTTTGCACCCGGTTCCCATATCCCGGCACCCCAACTCCTCATGGTCACCCCAATTGCCCGCAATCCACACCCTTCCCGGGCCCCCACGCGCCGCGCGACTCTGCTCCCCACTTCCCGGAGGAGGTACGATCCAACTCCGCCTGGCCCCCGGCCGCCCGGGCGCTCACCGGGCTGCGGCGGGAGGCGGTGGTAGGAGCTAGGGCAGCGGCTGCTGCAGGCGCGAGCTGGCGCGAGAGGAGGCCACGGCGCACCGCGCGGTATTGTTTCCAAAATACGCCCGCTCCGGGCATCCCGCAAACAGCTGATGAGGCCCCGCCCCTCTTCGCGTCACTCCAAACATTGACCAATGACAAGTGGAGCTCCAAGTCTCAGGCTGGGCAGCTGCCAGGGACAGTCACTAATGTACGAACCTTCCCTTGGAAACACTATAAGGGGCCGAGCGCATTTCTGACCTTGGCCAGAAGCGCAATTGGAGCGTAGTGTCGGGTGAGGATTCGGTTCCTAAGGCAGGCCTCAGAAGCACCAGAGAGTCCCTGGGTTCTCCACTAGGTGGGGGGACAGGGCGCCCAAGTGACTTTTGTCTACTTGGAAATGGGCAGAAGAATTATTGCGGGGCTTCTAGAAAGCCGGCTCAGGAGAAGGCTGGGAGCTTTCAGAGGCTTGAAACTTGTAGTGGGAAAAACGAGTTGTCAGTCCCTAATGGAAAAAAAAAAAATGCTTTCTTGCTTGGGCGGGTCCGAGGAAAGCTCGAGAAGAACACGTGTGTCCTTGTCTGTAACCAAATGACATTTGGATCCAACAAGTGCAATGAGAGACCCACGTCCTCTCTTCTGGACTGGGCAAGAACACGGGCGAAAAAAGGTTCTGGCAGAGGAGAGATCAAGGGGGCAGCTTGGGCAGCCAAGACACCTATTGATGGCAGCATCGGACTGTGCGTGGGCCGCTGGGAAAGCAAAGCGCAGCTCATGTACTATGGTCAATCCAAGGATGACTGCTCATTTCTTGAACACCTACCATGTGCCAGGTACTGGACTAAGTGCCAGACTTCTGGTGCCTGACCTCAATGAACCTCTACTCCATATGCGAATAATGGAAAGCAGCGTGAATGGTGTTCATTTTAGGAATAATGACGGCTGATGGGTGCCGAAAAGTTCAGAATGCAAAGGTTTTTGGTTCGGGCCTAGAAGAATGGGGAATTTTTCATTAAGTAAAAACAAAATAAAACAGCTCAGGCCCAAAGAGGGAAGGAAGCTAGAATAAAGTACGCAGTTGAAAAGCTTGTCTGGGAAGCAGAGGCAGACCTCTCCATCAAACCATCTGGCATCCTCACTTTGATTTAAATGTGTAAGGGTGGGCAGGTGAGTTTGGGTCGGTTTGCAGAGAAGCCTCTGGAATACCAGGCTGAGGAATCTGTATTTTTTTTAATGTGCATTGGTATTTTGCCATGGGTATCGGGTCCCCTAGAACTGGAGCTACAGTTGTGAGCTGCCATGTGGGTGCTTGGAATTGAACTCGGGTCCTCTGGAAGAGGATCAGATGCTCTAAACCACTGAGCTCATCCCAGCCCCCCCTTTAAAATGTGCAGCCCAGGCTAGCCTTGAACTCTTGATCCCCCTGCCTCTGCCTCCTTCAGCAAATCCTACCAGAGGATGCTAGCTCAACCAGTAGAAATCTGTATTTTATAGAGGACTGGCAGCAAAGAGTTCACAGAAGATGAATTTGGGAGAAAACTGAGAGGAAGAGAGGGGAGGAGGGAGAGAGGGGGGAGCAGAAATCAGTGAAAGGAACCAGTCCCTGCCAAGGCCTACAAGAGCTGCAATAGAGGCAGGTGTGTCTCTACCTGCCCATCTGCTTTAAGACACATGTTTATGGAACTGGTGCTCCCAGACTTAAGTGTCGCTGGCCATTTTTGTTTTTAAATTTCCATTTATTTACTTTTATTTCTTTCTTTATTCATTTGTTATTTTTTATATTTATTTATTTTTGTTTTATGTGTGTGGGTGTTTTGCCTGCATGTATGTCTATGTACCATGTGTGTGCCTGGTGCCTGAAGAGGTCCTAGGAGTGGGTAGAATCCTCTGAAACTGGAGTTAAAGATGGGTGTGAACCACCCTGTGGGTGCTGGAAACCAAACCCCGTCCTCTGCAAGAGCATCACGTTCTCTTAACTGCTGTGCCATCTTTAACTCTTTCTTCTCTTTCTTCTTTTTTTTTTGTGTGGGGTTGGGGGTTGGGGTTCGAGACGGGGTTTCTTTGTGTAGCCCTGGCTGTCCTAGAACTCACTCTGTAGCCCAGGCTGGCCTCGGACTCATATAGATCCACCTGCCTCTGCCTCCCAAGTGCTGGAATTAAAGGCATGTGCCACCACTGCCCAGCTTCTTTTTCTTGCTTTCTCCCCCCCCCCCTTTTGAGATAGTGCCTTGTGTGTAGCAGGCTAACTTCAAACTCTGTACATAGGCAAAGATGACCTCCTGATCTTCCCGCCTCCATCTTCCAAAAGCTGGGATTGCAGGCATGCGCCACCATGCCAGGTTCCTTATACCTTTACTATCTATTATTGCCTTTGTTTGCTCAAAACCCATCTGACACAGGTGAAGAATGAAGCAGGTATGCAGAGGGCTGTGGTCTGTGATTCCTCATGGGAGAAAATCCTAATCCCAGAGGACAGAGAGGAGGGGAAAGACAGAGAAGAGGGACGAGGGTGGCTGGGAGCCCAATCCTACCAGGAACTGATAAATGCTCAACAAGATGCTGGAACCAAAAGGAGGCTCGGCCAAGTGAGATGTCAGAGGGTCAGAGTCACTGGGACCATGCCCCAGATGGGGAGGTGAAGGACCAGGGGCTCAGAAAAGCATGGGGAATCCACCACTGCTTCCCATGCACTGGACCCCTTCTCCTCCTCCTCTTCATCTTCATCACTGACATCCTACTGGGCTGGCAAAGTGCATCTCTTGGGGTCTGTCTTAGTCACTATTCTATTGCTGTGAAGAGACACTATGGCCACAGCAACTCTTACCAGAGAAAGCATTTAACGGGGGCTGGCCTACAGTTTCAGAGGCTTAGTCCATTATCATCATGGAGGGGAGGATGGCAGCCACGGTGCTAAAAAAAAAAGGAGCAGAGAAGGCAAGACTGGGCCTGGCATGGGCTTTTGAAACCTCAAAGCCCACCCCTAGTGACACACTTCCTCCAACAAGGCCTTCTAATCCTTCCAATCCTAGAACAGTTCTACTCCCTAGTGACTGAGCCCTCAAATATAGGAGCCTCCAGGGACCATTTTTATTCAAGCCACTGCAGGGGCTTAAATAGAACTGAAGGACAAAACAGCATTCCGAGTCCCCCATAGACCTGAGGAGTAAGGAAGGATGTGATCCTAGCTCTCCACTAAAGCCACACCTACTTTACTCCAGCCATGCATGGAAGAAGTGTGTCACAAGGCTAGAAAACCAAGAAAAAAATAGGATTTCACCCCAAATCTGCAGACCCACCAGGCTCTCCAGAGTCCTGAGCATTGGAGCTATGAACCCACCACCCCAGTGTCTAAACTGTGTTGGTGGGTGCACACAAAGGAGGCTGCTGTCTTACAAAGGGTTAAAAATCAGCTGGGCATGGTGATGTTCTCCGATAATCCCAGCACTAGGGAGACTACGGCAAAAGAGTTTGAGGCCAGCCTGGGCTATCCAGGGAGACCTGAACTCAAAAACAGAAAGCTAAGCATCACCCTTGTAGGAGAATGGTGCTGGAGACCCAGAAGACAGCCTTAGTGAGTCTGGGGGAACTTGTAACGTGGTGGGAAGCTCAACCCTCTAATGGTATTGTTTTCTCGGACCTCTCCCCAGCCTGCTCCCTCAGGCTACTTCTGAAGGACATTGGTAGCTTGGTCTCTGGTACTCTCAACCTTTAGGGTCAAAGAGCAGGAGGCCCAGCCTTCCAGTGGGAGGGACCAGAGAAGGGACCTCTGGGATAAAGAGGTCGGAGAGGTCAGGAGCCTCACTCCCACCACTCATCATTGTCAAAGCAGACCCCTCCCCTCTTCGCCCTTTCTTCTCCAGCAGCACAGGGACAGAGCAAGTGTCAGGATCTGCCAACTGGGGATCTGGGCTGAGTCTCCCGATGTACAGCAGCAGCAGCATAGGAGTAGAGGCCTTTGGGCTCTGAGCAAATACGCCGCACAGCATAGCAATCTCCCTTTCGGACAATTTTCTCCTTCCCTTCCCGGCTCCTCACTCCAATTTGTTCTCTGCTGGCTGATGCTCGCTAGCACTGTGAAGAGGGTCCCCAGAGCAAAGCGCTGGCCAGGAGGCTGAGACGGAGGAGGAGCCTCTAGACAATGCGGGAGGGATGCGGAGCTAAGCGCCAGCCCTCTGCAGAAAGCAGGCAGGCACCCTCAACATAGTTTCACCTGGCAAGGGGAAATGGTCTCCGAAGCGCCAGTAACTGGATCGTTTGGGAGAAGGGGTGGTTTTTAAAGCCCGCTGACAGCTGAATAATAGGAGTTACTAGGCAAGCTGTCCTGGGGTTACTGAGGTTTGTAATGTAACCTCCAGAGAAGGGTTAGATGGGAAACTGATTTATGTAAAGTGGGGTCTAGCTGGGGAAGTCCATGGTGTTTTTCTCTTGGCTCCCTTCAGGAGGGATCAGGCATGTAGGAGGAAGATTAGGGACCTCCAAGGTTTTGGGGTTCTCTCCTTTGCTGGACTTGCCTAGACAAATTCTCTCTCTATGCGTCATTTTGTCTGTACACACACACACACACACACACACACACACACACACACACACACACACATTCCTCTTTTCTGAGTTGCAGTGTGTGTGTGTGTGTGTGAGAAATTGACAAACACAGAGAGAAAAAAAGTGTGGAATAATCATTTTCTACATTATGAATATGTATTACTCTCATTGGTTGATAAAAGGCTGACAGGCTGGTAGCTGGGCAGGGAGTTAGGCAGGAAAGCCAAACTGAGAATGATGGGAAGAAGGAGGGCGGAGTCAGAGAGATGCCAGCCAGCCGTCCAGGAAGCAAGACATGCTAGAGGGCAGGTAAAGCCACAAACCACGTGACAACACATAGATTAACAGAAATGGGTTAATTTAAACGTAAGAGTTAGCTAGTAACAAGCCTAAGCTATTGGCCGATCATTTATAATTCATATTCAGCCTCTGAGTTGGTTATTTGGGATGAGGTGGTTGGGACAGGAAACGACTGTTTACAAAAGTAATATACTAGATAGTGTGGAAACAATATGTGTAATCCCAGCACTGGAGAGGTATGGCAGGAGGATTGTCATGAGTTCAA